TGTCTTCTCGGGGAGCTGAGGAGCTACACCCCTCAGGAAATAGCCAACGTCCAGCCTGTCTCCCCGGTTTTTCTGCCCATGCCCGAGGCCAACTCAGCCAACAATTAATTAAAGGGCACTCAACCCTGCTGCTCAGTTCTCCTGGCCTCGGGCAAGTCACTTTACCTCTCCCAGCCTCGAGGTCCCATCTGTAAAACAGGGGTAACATTAGTAGCTAACAGACAGGAGTGCAAATAAGGCATTATGTATATGAAAGCGCTTAGAAAACTTAAAATCACTCACAAAAGGAGGCGAGTGTTAACAGAGGTGGCGTGAAGAGGTGAACGGGCACAGGGTTTGGGTTTGAATCTCAGCTCTAACAGTGTCTGGTCAAGTCACTTCCTCGCTAAACTTCAGTTGTCTTTACTCTTAAGACGGGTGGAGATGAGGCAGCGCAGAGATCATGGAGGAGCGGCGCCCAAATGCCAACCTAGACAGGCGAGGAGGCTGAGCCAAAGGGACTCCCGGCCCACGGGGTCTCAGGGGGCAGCCCCTTCCCTCAACAAGCCGGGTACCCAGGCCCCCGCCACAGCTCTACCGGGGTCCCCCGGCCTGCCAGAGGGACGGCGCCTCCAGCCAGTGGGTGGGCGGGCCGGCAGCTAGGCCCGCAGAGCCCGAGGCCCGGCCAATGAGGAACGCGGCGGCGGCGGCGGCGGCAGGGGGCGGGCGCAGACAACCCTCCGCGTCGCTCCCGGACCGCTCCCTCCTCCTCCCCAAGCCCTGTTAGGCCGCAGACCCTGAACCCCGAAGGACTACAAGGCCGCTCACCGTCCTTTCGCTGCCGCGCCACGCTTCCTGATGAGCTCGTCCAGTGAGATATCCGCCATCTTGCGCCGCCGAGCGAGCGGAAAACAGCTTAGACGTCCCCAACAAGCGAGCCCGCCCCTTCGGCCTCCACCGAACGACTAGCTGCTTCCGGCGTTCAGCCGACCAACTCTCGCGACAACTCGAAAACCAGGCAGGGGCCGGAAGAGGCGGGGGCGCTCCCCGTGAGCCTTCGCGATGCAGGCTTCTTATCTGCATACGGCGGGTCAGAGTACTATTGACACTTTATTCTCCCCGAACAAAAAAATAAAAAGAAAAGTGACTAAATAAACTAACTACTGAATAAAACAAACTTCAATGGATCTGGTCGGTCATCCCAACAGTCGGTTACGTTACTCACCGTATAGCTAATGAGATTAAGATTCATTACCAATGAAGTCAGCGGTGTGTGTTTTTATGCCTTAAACTTATGAGTAAGGAAAATAACGATTCGGGGTGACGCCCGAATCCTCACTGCTAATGTGAGACGAATTTTTGAGCGGGTAAAGGTCGCCCCTAAGGTGACCCGCCTACTTTGCGGGATGCCTGGGAGTCGCGATCTGCCCGTCTTTTGTTTTCGCTTGAAAAACAGACTGTCTGAAAACACTTTAAAGGAACGAAGGAAAAGAGTGCTATGGTGGGTTCTGTGTTATTTCACGTGCTCGGTGTTTGCCCACTGTCTCAGTCGTGGGGTGGTCTCGGAGCCCGCGTGAGCACAGGGGCTCCCACCTGTCTCCCGCCTCTTGTAGGACGGAAGGCAACATGGTGGGGTCGGCCACCCAAAATTGCCAGGAGTATTAACTGTTGTGACCCACGGAACCGCGGATTTTGTTGTGTGTTGGTTATCCTGAAGTTGCCCGACTTTAGCCAGTTCATGATGAACGGCTTCCCCGTAGGACCACGTGTTGGAGGCTGAGAAAGGTCTGTGCAGTGCCGGCCTCGCACGGTAGGCGCGCAGTTCCTGACCGAGCGTGTGCGGACGCGGTGGTTTTATCGTGTAATTCTCTTAGTGGGGAGAGCTAGAGGACCCCTGCCTCGCTTCCCAGTTGGCACAAGCAAATCACTTCATGTCCCTGAGTCTGTCTTCCCGATCTGTAGAATGGGTCGGTGGGAGAGTTAAATAGACAATTCATTTATGTGTTCAATACATGGGTTGGCTGTCACTGATACAACCCCAGCCTCGCGCGTTGAGGCAGGCATCGGGTAGGTGTTTGACACATATTTGTCGAATCTGCTCAATAAAAAATACATTCAATGCCCTTAGGACACGTGGAGTCATGTGCTCTTGATAGATCATCACCACAATTAAAAATCCGGCCTCAGAAACTGGGAGCTGGGATCTGCACCAGGCAGAGGAGGGGTGACTGGGCCCTTCCCTCTCTTTCTATTGTTCTTGCTCAGGCTGGTCTCGAACTCCTGAGCTCAAACGATCCACCCGCCTCGGCCTCCCAGAGAGCTAGGATTACAGGCGTGAGCCACCGGGCAGGCCCCTTATCTTAATATCTTAACCTAAGCATCCTAGCAGACCGCCCGCCCCCCGGCGCTTTTTTGTTGTTGTTGTTGTTGTTGCAGAGTCTGGCTCTGTTGCTCAGGCTGGAGTGCAGTGGCATCGTTATAGCTCACTACAACCTCAAACTCTTGGGCTCAGGCGATCCAACCCGAGTAGCTGGAACTGCAGGCACATGCCACCACACCTGGCTAATTTTTGTATTTTTTGTAGAGATGGGGCCTTGGGCTATGTTGCTGGGGCTGGTCTGGAACTCCTGGTGTCAAGTGATCCTCCTTCCTTATCCTCCCAAAGTGCTGGGATTACAGGTGAGAGCAGCCATGCCAGCTCCCCATCTTAAGTCAAACATTCCTTTCTACTGACTCCAGGTCTTTAGACAAAGCTTAACGCTTTCAACCTGTTGCCAACTAAAGAATCCCTAAAACCCACTTATGACCTGTAAGCTCCTGCTTCAAGATGTCCCGCCTTTTCAGGGGAATCAATGTATACCTTCCATGTATTGATTTATGGTTTAACTGTAATTAATTCCTGTCTCCATGAATGTATAAAACCAAACTGTAATCTGGCCACCTTGGGCTCATTTTCTCAAGACCTCTTGAGAGCCAGGTGCGGTGGCTGACGCCTGTAATCCTAGCACTCTGGGAGGCAGAGGCGAGAGGATTGCTTGAAGTCAGGAGTTCAAGACCAGCCTGAGCAAGAACAAGACCCTGTCTCTACTAAAAATTAGAACAAATTAGCCAAGCAACTAAAAAAATGGAAACAAAAAGTTAGCCAGGCGTGGTGGGAAGCGCCTGTAGTCCCAGGTACTCGGGAGGCTGAGGCAGGAGGATCGCTTGAGCCCAGGAGTTTGAGGTTGCTGTGAGCTAGGCTGATGCCACTGCACTCTAGCCTGGGCAACAGAGTGAGACTCTGTCTCAAAAATAAATAAATAATATTGTGCATGTAGGTAGGTAGGTGATACTATCTGTGAACTCTCTTCAGGAGAGTAAAGGACCTGTTATTAATACAATCGTGATTTTTAAAAGGTGTCAGGCCTGAGAGGGTGGAGAACCACTGACCCAGTTCACTACCCAGGTTATGAATGGGGAAACGGAGCAGGAGAGAGCGTAGGAGCCGGACGCACTTCACCCCCTTCTCCCCAGGAGTCCGCCTGTTCTGGGCTCAGATGGGCCTGTTTTCTCCTCCTCAGGCAGGGACAGGAATGAGGGTGAGACCTAATGTGTATCAAGTGACTGGCGCAGTGTGAAGGGCCATTGGGCCCCGGATTCCCAGGCCAAGGCCTTTTCTCGCCCCAGTATGTAGTGAGGGCCAGGTGGTGGGCCAGAGACAGATGGAAGGTGAGGGGACAGAGGGGCTCCCTCAGGCCTCCCTCCACTTGCATCAGGCATTCCTTCCCTTGAACTTGCCCCATCCTGTTTTTTTAAAAACATTTTCATATGGAATGCTTCACGCATTTCCATGTCATCCTTGCGCAGGGGCCGTGCTAATCTTCTCTGTATCTTTAGGTTTTATTGTATGTGCTGCCAAAGCGAGCACACCATCCTCTCTTCCCACTCCACTCCAGCACACTGGCCTTCACTATGTTCCTTCGAACATTCAGCAAGTCTCTGCTCCAGGGCCTTTGCACTTGCTGGGCACTCCCTCTGGAGCACCAGTTTAGCCCTGTCTCCCTCCCCAGCTTCATCTCCACCATCCTCTCCAGCCACCTGCCTTCTTTGAGCTATTTCTGCAAGTTTGTTCCACAAACTTATTCCAACCACAGGGCCTTTGCACTTGCTGTCCTTACCACCTTGAAGTATCCCAGCAGTGCCAGCTCCATCTCTTCAGAGACGGCTTTCCTGCTGCTCAATTTTAGGAATAGCCCTCCCGCCATCGTCTCGTCACCTTTGATTTACCATCTGGCAAATGACACCCTGTGACTTGTCTATCGCCTTTCCCACTGGAAGCCCAGCATCACAGAGCAGTGAGATGGGCCGTGCCTGAGGCATCCCCAGCTGAGTCCCCAGCACCTGGAACAGTGACACTGGCCTCACCTCAGGCCCCATCTCCAGCCTGAAAACCATTCGCTGCCGGAGACTCAATCTGTCCGACGGAAAATGGGGCGGATGACTCCTCCCGACTTCTCAGGGTTGCCCAGAGGAGCAAGGGGACAGAGTAACGTTGGAGGCAGACAGTTGTCCAAAGACAGGCCTGGGCGTGGTGCGCCCCGCTGAGATGACCTGAATAAGGCTGGGGAGAGAGAGGACCCGGTGTGAAAGCTGAACTGCCAGAGGCCCTGCCCCCGGGCTGGGCTCTGCTTCTGGGAACCTGTCCTAAAAGAGGTCACCTAGAGCAGGGTGGGTGGCCACTGTTGCTTACAAAACCCAGAAACTGGAAACAGCCTAACTGTTCACCGAACAATACATCATGATCCACTTGGGTTTGTGGTGTCTGGTGACAGGAAAAAGCTCATTTGATGCTGAGAGGATGCGGCAGCCACACGATTAAAGTGAGAAGCGCCTGCCTCTGGACGTCGGGTATTTTTTCCTGTGGATACTTTTTTGCACTTTCCAATTTTTCTACAACAAACAAAAACATACACGAGAAATAAATGTCCCACCACCGCCCCTGCCCCGCGTCACAGAGCCTCCAGGAGCTGCAGAAGGCTTAGTATTAGCAAAGTTTTATTTCAGTTTTTTTTTCTGCTCATAAATGACTCTGAAAAAGCCGATACGCAAGAGCTAACACAGCTGTTGTCTAAAGGCAACATCGAGGCCACGATATGTCGCTGGGACAAGAGGCACTGCTCAAAATCTCCCCGGTGCTGGGGGCGAGGGCAGGAGGAGGGGCAGGCTTGGGACAGAGCAGTAATAAACACAGTCGCTGCGGTGCCCCAGGGCGGGCGGTGGGCCGCCCAGCGCCGCTTAGCGCAGGATGTGTTGGGGGGAGACACCGAGGTGTCAGGAGGGCCCACGTGCTGGCGCCAGGGCTTGGCCAGCATTCTCTTCCACTCTGGCCACGGGGAGAGCCAGGCTCCCAGCTGGCCAGGGCCTGCCTGGGCCCTGGGGTGGGGGCAGCCTTTCACCCCAAGCCGCCCACCCCAAGAGGACTTTTTGGTGTCACCCATCTCGTGTAGTGTCAGGTGCCTGGCTGTGGCCCAAGACAGGCAGTGAGGGGTGGCTGGGGAGGACAGTGGCGGGGCCAGGCCCTGACGCCTGCAGCTCTGGTCTGTGCGCACGCCATGCTGACGTCCAGACTGTGACCCACTGCCCCGAGGGCCGAGAGCAGCGAGGTGCTGGCAGCCCTCCTCTGTAGTGTGGGTGCTGGGCTGGGGGACAGGCATGCAGCCGGGCATCTCTGGTACGAACCAGCAAGTGCTGGGCAGGAACCTGTCCTGGAGGTTCCGCTGCGGCGCACCTGAAACAGAACGCTGCTCCCAAAGGGGACCCTCGGGGCCAGCTCAGCGGGGCGGTCACCAGGGCGCGGGCAGGCCAGGCTGAAGCCGGGCCCCAGCGTGAGGTGGGGCAGAGTGGGGTGGCGAAGGGTCGAGTGTGGACGGGGCGAGGTGCGCACGCGGGGCAGGTGGGCGTGTGTGCAGCCGGCGCCGGGCCCTCAGAAGGTGAAGCAGCGCTCCTTGGGGTGGCCCACGCGCTCCAGGTTGGGCAGGCAGGCAAACTGGATCATGGGTGGGGGCCCGCACATCAGCACCAGCGGCTCCTCCTCCGGAGGCGGAAGGTGGTCCCGGATCATCTCCTCGTTCACGAAGCCCTGGCTGTAGTCCCAGGCTGTGGGGCGAGAGACCACGTGAGCCCGAGCGCAGCCTGCGACTGACCAACCGACCGAGGGCCCAGCTGCCCACGTCCCCCTGCCCGCCGGCCTGCTAAGCCCTGAGTCCCTCCTTTCTTTTTCAACGAACACTGAAGAATGAAGAGGTGGATCCCCGCAACCTCTGTGCCCCCCACCCCAACCCTGACCATGCCTGTGGCTTCAGGCCCTGCAGCCTGAAACTGGGACACAAGCCCTTTGTGGTTTCCCTCCCCACACTTTACAGTTTGCAAAGCCTTTTGCTTCCATTTGGCCACCTGTGGCCCTCAGATCCACCCTGTGGGCAGACAAGGCGGGAGTTATTCGTCCCATTTTACCTATGTGGAAACTGAGGCCCAGAGGACCCAGAGTCGAGTTGTTCAAGGTCACACAACGAGGCAGGGACGAAGCTGACATGTGAACTCCAGGTTCCCAGACATCCCCAAGCCAGTGCCCAGCCCCAGGCTGGTCAGGGCGACGTTCACGAACCGCTCTCCGGCCACAGGCCCATTGCCTGACTCCTCCCCTGGCCAGGATGTCACCCCACGAGCAGCAGATCTTGCCCACACCTGTGTTCCCAGTGCCTAAGTACACAGTCGTTGCTCAATAATGAAGGAACGTGTCCCAAATAAGCAATCCCTGTGCCCGAAACAGCGAGGCCGGGACACAGGCTGAAGCTCCAGACCCGAGACCCTCTGGGCGCGGCTGTTCTGCAGGGTCACGCCTGCCTCCCTTTTGCGCGCATGCGCACCCGCACCGTGTCCCAGCTGCTGTGGTCGGAGCCTTCTTTTCATTCCTTCAAGCAGCTGACGATGCCAGTGTGACGACCCCAGCCCCCAAGGCTGGGAACGGCTCTGATCCAACATCTACCCCCAGGGGCTGACCTGCCAGCAGGGGTTGCTGAGGGGGGAGACTCCCAGCCCAGGGAGCACAGTGGGTAACAGGGATGTGAACTCAGGCTGGCAGGGGGGCGACAGGAGAATGGGGGCTCTGATGCTTGCGGGCCAGGAAGGAGAGGAAGAAGAGACAGACGCCCACTCTGGCTCCAGCTCTGGCTTCCAACCCGCTGGGGCAGCCAGCATCCCTCTGTGCCTCAGTTTCCACATCTGTAGGGTCATGAGGCCCAGGTGAGAGGTGTTCCTGCAGATGTGTTGCTTACTAATGTCACTGCTCTCTTGGATGAGGAGCAGGGGAAGCCTAGTCTTAAGCTCACCATCCCGCATGGTTCTTCAGCGTTCAGTGGGACAAATACCACCGGGGGACGTAAGGACCTGTACTGGCATGCCGCCATGGTCCTCTCAAATGACCCCATGCCAAGCAGCTCAGCAGGAACTCAGCCCTGAGGGACAGATGGATAGACCAGCCGATGCCTGCCGCCTGCCACGTGCTTCTTCCCCAGCCACCTCCTGATCCCACTGGGGCACCTGACCCCAGGCCGGCCCCTAGCTCCGCCCAGTGGGTGGCATCATCGCTCGGGAAGACCTTGCTTGGCTCTGGAAGGGCAACAACGATGTCAGAGAGACACAGCAGGTGGCGGGGTGGGCAGAGGGCAGGACACTGGCAGCAGGCTGTGCAGACATATGGGAAGTGGCAGGAGATGGAGGGATGCTGGGACATTTGACGCCTGCCTTGGACGCTCCACCTGGCCCAGGGCACCACCAGGCCTGGCTGAGTTTGGGGAATGGTCTCCTGCCCCCTCAAGTCCCTCCAGTCCTGAACACCCAACGTTCCATGGCTTGTCTCTGTTCTTTGCATCCAGCAAAGCCTCCCCATAGCCCTCACTGCCAACAGAAAGGCTGCTGCAGAAGCCTGCAGTGAGGAGGGCACTGGCTGACCTGAGCCACCCTGCCCAGACGGACAACACACTGTGTATCACGCTGTGTCCACTCTATGAGGGGGAGAGGCCAAAACAGTCTCAGCTGGCCTTGGGATCAGGAAGTCTCTACTGTGCTGAGCAATGCAGTCCTTTATCTCATGGACACTGTGAGCTAAATATGACATTTCCCTTTTCACCTCGGCTGCTGGGAAGCTCAGAGTGATAGACATAGCCCATCCATGGCAAGTGTGCATCACAGTCCACTTTTGTACAAACCCTATTCCTGATTCCATTCATTTCATGGCCCTGCCCTTGTTTTTATTTCACTCCCACTTTCCGTTTGTGCCACTGTGACTCACCATGTGAGTCTCTGTAAATTTCTTAAAATCCCTTCTGGAACAGGCGGGGCACAGAAAACATTTTTATAGCTTGGCAATGGATCTGAAAATACTTTGTGAAAAACTGCATGGGAATAAACTGTATTTGCTAGGGTAAGAACTGTGCAGGTATCTAAGACAAATCTCAATTTTCCAGGGATTTTTATTTAGATAGCCTACAGTGTATTTTTCTTCATACACACACTGAAGGTGGCTTTGCGGGGCAAATGGAATTCTACGCACCTGTGTGTTCTCGTTGCTCTCCCCTCTTCCTTCACTTAGCTCCACAAGACAGGGGACTGGCCCATTTCCATCTTTCTCAACATCTAGAATTTCAGCTTATACCTAAGGTTACAGCGGTACCTCAACTAGTCTTGAACGAGCGCCAGGGTGGTAATAAACGTCAGTGAAAAATACTGGGAGACCACCCACGCTTCCTCTCCTTGGCCCAGAACCAGTTACTGTTGCTAAGCAGCTCTCCCCAGGCAGGGCTCGGCGCTGCCGCATGCCACCACCAGAGGGCAGCACCGGCCCCTCCCCTGCAGGACAAGGCTGGCACCAGGGAAAGGGGCGCCTGCCCCTACAAGGGCGTTCTCATCGTGGCCAAGTGCCACCTTGCCCACGAGCCTGCCGTGGCCACACTATTAGAAACTGCAACCAGAAGGGAGGAGCTAACCCATCTTTCATTTCCTCCCTTTTGATGGAGATACGGATACAAGAAAAATGTTCCTTTCTTTACTAGAAGAAGAACAGCAGCTTGACTCCCAGGGCTGGTGCGCCCCACTCCTGACTTCCTGCCTGGCTCTGCCTTGTCTCCCCATGACACTGACCGCCTGCTACTCTGCTCTATAATTTACTATTTATTTATTTTTATTTTTTATTTTTTTTGAGACAGAGTCTCACTTTGTTGCCCTGGCTAGAGTGAGTGCCGTGGCATCATCCTAGCTCACAGCAACCTCAGACTCCTGGGCTCAAGCGATCCTCCTTCCTCAGCCTCCCGAGTAGCTGGGACTACAGGCATGCGCCACCATGCCCGGCTAATTTTTTCTATATATTTTTAGTTGTCCAATTAATTTCTTTCTAATTTTAGTAGAGATGGGGTCTTGCTCTTGCTCAGGCTGGTTTCGAACTCCTGAGCTCAAACAATCCGCCCGCCTCTGCCTCCCAGAGAGCTAGGATTACAGGTGTGAGCCACTGCGCCCAGCCTATAATTTACTATTAATAGTAAACCTGGTTCCCATCTGTCCTCTGCCTTGCCTACTAGACTGCGGGATCCTGGGGCCAGGCTGGCTTCACGAACTCACAGGGTAGAGGGTCTGACCAGGAGGGGACCTGCCATGCTCAGATGGGCTGGGCCAGGGTGGCTGGTCAAGCCAGGGGCCTCGGGACACAGCTGTGAAGTTCAAAGATTCAACCGGCCCAAGGCCTGACTCAGCCTGCAAGGCCCAGAACCCAAATTGGGCGGCTCCTCCCTCAGGGATGGGCCCAGGTGACCCAGCTCAACAGGTGGGCACCAGCCCCTAAGCACATCTGCTCATTTCTGGGGAAGCAGAGGGTGCTGTGGACGGAGCTCCCCCGTCAGCAGGTGGCGTGTGTCCCCCACTGTGGATGATCCCTCAGGGGAGCAAGGGCAGGGGGCAGGACGTGACGGCAGATCACAAGTTGGCGTCCCCATGGCTGCTTCAAAAATGTCCAGTTTCCAACCCTTATTAATAATAAATAATCGAAATTGCTCATGAAGACACAGGCCCCAACTTCTCTGGAAAAGCAGAGAGGCTCGGTCACATAGCGCTGGGTCCCTGCACAGCAGGACCACCCACAGCTGGGAGGGGGCTGCCCCCTCTGGACAAGGCAGATGACCCCAATCCCGATGTCCCCACCACTCCCTAGAGTCTCCCAACCCCGAGGCCAAGCATCACGGGAACCGTCCACAAGGAAGCCTGAGCTGCTGCTCTTCTTACAGCAAAGAGAGAATTAAGGTATTTCTTGTAGCCACATCTCTACCTAAAGCAGGAAAGGGAAGGATAGTTTAATTCCCAGAGGGCGATCTCATTTCCGGTTTGGGGGCAGCCCTCATTCACTGCCTCCCGTGTGGTCCTGGCTCTCCTGCACCTTACTGTGACCGAGGCCAACAGCTCAACCGCCTGGACAGGCAGAAAGGGGTCACCATCATCGGCCCAGCCCACTTCCCAGGGCTGACGATCGAGAGCAAACGGGTGTTTGGTGCCTCATGGAGCACACGCTGTGAAGTGGAAGCCACGGCGCCACAGCCTGCGCTGCCGCTGGAGACCTGCCGCGGAGTGAGCCCAGCCCGGGACAGGAGAGAATGCGGGCAGGGCAGCAGGGCACAGTGCAGAGGGCCAGGGAAGGGCTCCGGCTCTGGCGGACAGGACCTGAGTGCCAGGCCAGGCTCTGGTGTTTTCTGGCTGTGTGGGCTTCTTTTGTGAGATGGGGTCACACCACCTCCCTCTCGCAGGGCCACAGTTGCACCAAACGAGGCTCGCACAGGGCAGCCCTGGGCTGGCACCTCCCACCCCACCTGCCGGGGGCCCCCACATCACCTTCAGGGGCTCTGTCCACCGTGTACCAGAGCTTGAAACGGGCAGAGTGTTCATTCCTCAGCTCCTCCAGCTCAGGCCGCAGCAGGATGTCCTTCTCGGTCTGCGGGGGACGGGGCCAAGGGGTCAGGAGGGAAAGGTGGCAGGGACTGCCCTTGGAGACACCAGGCGGCTGACCACCGCACCCGCCCCAGGCCACACGCTTGGCTTTCAAGAAAGCCAAGAAAGTGTCTTTCAAAGCTCACCCCGGTCACTGCTTCCCTGACCCCGCCTAAGGAGCCCACCAAGCTGCCTGCGGAGGGATTCCTCAAACGCGGTTTGCAGACTGCTTTAATGCTGTGGGGAAATGTGCACCATGTATTGAGGAGCGGAAAAAATGGAAAACAAAACTAAAGATAGCAGAGCTTGGGTACAGGAAACAGAGAGGAAGGAAATATGCCAAAACATTCAGGGAGATTATCCCCAGGGAGTGGTCATAGTGCTTAAAATAATGCAGGGTTCAGTTCAAAGGAGGGGGGTTTGCCACCTTCAGCCCTCAGGCAAGTCCTTCTGCTTCCACCTGCCCTCCGAGGCCCTGCCCACACCCGCCCGCCACCCTCTGCCTGCAGCCCCACCCTGCCCCCATCTGCCCTGGCCAGCCCCACCAGCCCTTCCAAGCTCAGCAGCCTTGCCCCTCCCAGGAAGTCTTCCCAGACCCCCAGCGCGTGCAGGGATCTCTCCCCGGTCCCCCCACCTGACTGGGCCCCATTTCTGACCACAGGCCGTGGCCGGGGGTGTCTGCAGGTCACTCAGGGACAGACGGGCCACTCAGGCTACAGTGCAGTGTCACTGACCCCATGGGACTCAGAACCTGGGGCCAAAGAGAAACGCCAACCAGAAGGGTGACCGGCTAACCCCCAGGCAGGGCGAAGGGCAGGGTGGGCCCACCCAGGGATGCGACTTCTCTGCTAGGGGAACAGCACCCCCACCACGTGACCGGAGGAGCAGCAGGGACGAATCACAAAGGGTGGGGGCAGGACAGACGGAAACCGTGAAACCACCCACGCCACGTGGCTCCACAGCTTCGGCTCCTCAGTGTCCCCCCTGCCTCTGCGTCCCGGGGAGACCATGTTTTCCCATTTCCAAGGGCGGAGAGCTAAGAGCTCCTCTGGCCCTAAAGGGGTGAGGGCGGGGACAGGGCTTAGGCTAGACAAGCCTTAGGTAAAAAAAAAATGTAGAAAATATGAAGCAAAGAAAAAGCATCTGAAACCCTTGGAGATGGTGACTATTAGGATGTCAGTGTGTATTTTTTAGAACTTTTTCTATTCAGACTGCCCGCGTGTCAGTGTACCCTGCCCAACCCCCTGAAGGGACTGCCCGCTCCCAGCTGAAGGACCTCTGCACTGTTCAAACGTCCTCTCTCTAAACAACACCTCTTTGAGCGTCCTCACTGCTCTGCCCATGGCTTAGGCTAAATTCGAGCAAGTAGGTTCCAGGGTGGCAATTTCTCCATCGACAAGGCATGCAAAGCATTCAACCCACGAGGCCAATTTATGCCCCAGAAAGTTCCGCCAACTCACAGCTCAGCAGCACACCCACGGGATCCATCTTCCTACACTTTTGCCAGCACTGGGTAATATTTGTTTAACTTTTGCCAGTCGGAGTGTTTTAATTTACCTTTTTTTTTAATTTAAGAGATGAGGTCTGGCTATGTTGCCCAGGCTAGAATCCAACTCCCGGGCTCAAGTGACCCTCCTGCCTCAGCCTCCTAAGTAGCTGGGACTAGAGGCACCACCACTGCAAGACTCCTTATAAAAAAGCTCACCTAGTACTTTTTTTTAAAGAGAGATGGGGTCTTGCTATGTGGCCTAGGCTGACCTTGAACTCCGGGCTTGAGTGATCCTCCTGCCCCAGCCTGCCATGCAGCTGGGACTCTGGCTCAAGGCACCTCGCCTGGCCGTTAAACTTTATTTTGTTATCAGCCACGGTAGGGATCTACTTAGTCTTTCCCAAATAGCAACTGACCCAACGCTCCCGATTCATCTCTCTCCTCAGGTTTGAGACGCCGCTGTACCGTACACGACATCTCGCATCTGCTTGGGTCTGCTTCCAGGCTAGCACTGTTCAACGGGACTGTCTGCAATTTTGGGAGTTCTGTATCTGTGCTGTCCAGTGTGGTGACCAGCAGTTACTCGTGGCTGTGGAGCCCCTGAAATGTGGCCAGTGAGACTAGGAAAGTGAATTTTTTATTTAATTAGTCTTAATTTAAATGCAAATAGCCACATGTTCTAGCATATTCCAGTGAAATTCTAGATTTTCTGTTGTGTTACCCTGAAATGCAGTAAGTCCAGGTCCATGTGTGGCTCTAGAACCACAGTGTTTTCATCACTGACACTTTTAGCGTGTTTTAACATCTAGTGTGTTAAGTTCTTCCTTGTTATTTTTCTTGGAACTTTCTTGGTAGTGTGTACACTCTGTCTTCCGGGTTGTTTTGCATTACAAGGGGGGAAAGCCCACTGGGAGTCTGCAGATTATTTAGAAAGAGCTGACGTCTTGAGACCATCAGGTCTTCCTGTCCAAGAACAAGACCCGTCTTACTGCTCATCTGCGTCTCCATTGCCCTTCTAGGCGGACTTGTCCAAGGCCAACAGCAGGCCAGGGCAGGTGGCAGTAGGCCTGGGGACGAGGGTAGGAATCGGGAGCCAGAGAGGCGAAGGTCCGATCCCTGCCCCAACAGCCTTTAGCTCAGGGACTCGTGTGCAGTCATCTGCTCATCTGTAAAACAGGCCCCCGGCCCCAGGCTGGCCCAAGCCCAGGCTGGCATTCTTCCCTCCCCACTGGTGGGTTCCAAACTCTGCTCATGCTAAGGGAGCTCTGAGGTTTGGAGGAAGCAGCCAGGGGTGGGGGTGCTCAGGAAGTCTCCCCCAAAAAGCAGCCCTCTCAGTCAGACACTCTGGACTGCAAACCCCACCCCCACCTGCTGCGGCAAAGACAGCCAGGGCACAGAACGTCCTGGCACCCCCACATCCCAGTCGGCCCCCAGCACCTCAACAGAGCTGTGTGGACCCCCTGAATGCCTGGTTGGGCTCTAAGTCCCCTCTCAGGAAGCCGAGTTTGCATATCGTGGGGGCTGTTTACTGACCTGGTTGGCAAAGAGCAGGTGGCACACGGTGTGGTCATCTGGGTCTTTCATGATGGCGCGGATCACCTGCAGCATTGGGGTGATGCCTGCAAAACAGCCGGGCTCCGTGCTGAGTGAGTGCCAGGCACCCAAGCAGGGAGGGGTGCCAGGACAACGCCCCAACCCCGACCCGCAACTCCATCCCCCGGTGACTCTGAGGGGCTCTGGGTTCCATATACCTGTCCCTCCTGCAATCATGCCGACAGATTTCACTGTCTTGATGACGGGGTCGGATTTCTTGTCGGGACGGATGGCGAACTTCCCTAGGGGAAAGGGAAGGGGTGAGACCCAGCTCTCAAACATGCCACGCTCGGGGTCTGACAGGCGGCGGGACCGGCCCCCACTCTGAGAGTCCGAGGTGGGGGCAGCCACCATGCAACCCCAGTCATCAGGCTGAGGGAGAGGATGGGAAGGTGGAGACCCAGGACCCCGCCCAAATGCCAGAGAGAACGCAGTGAGGAGTCCTCACTGCAGACAGCGCGGGGGCAGTGGAGAGGCTGGCGCACCAGAGCGTTCCAGCTCCGTTCTGTCACTGGTTTGCTGTCAGACACGGAGGGAGCCAAACAAAGGCGTATGCGGGACAGATTTGGCCCCAAGGAACAGCCAGTCTGCGAGACCTGTGCTGGCCAACTTGTCCCCTACACAGCCAGGGAGGCTGAGTTCCTGGGGAGAAGACAGCTTGCCCAGGGACAGTCACACGTCCAGACACAGCAGGGTCAGCGCCTGCTTGGTAGCCAAGGGACTCCAACCCAAATCACCTCTGCCCTGATAGATCAGCAGCCCGTTCGGGCCCCGGAAGTCAATGGTGTCTCCAATCTGCATGCTTTCCAGGTACTGAGACATCTTCCCTCCAGCGGGAAACTTGGGATGGGTGTCCTTGAAGTAAACCTACAAGACACAGCCACAGCCCTCAGTCCCCGGCCCCAGGTCTCCGGGCCAGCTCTTGCCCACGGTGGGAAGTAAGCTCCTCCTCCCGGTTCTTCCCAGGCCCACGTGTGGCCTCTCTCGTGGAACCCCATCCACCCGCCCATCAAAACTTACCCGTCCCACGACCCATCCTCCACCTAAAACTCTCTTGGGAAGCAAAGCGTCAGCCTGGTGTACGAGGCCGACTGACTCAGAACTTGGCGCGGTAACACTTCACCAAGAACTGTCTCTGCGGCCCTCCCTCTGGAGACACTGACGTTTGTCAGCACAGCCCTGGGGAGTGGCTCAGCCTCGCCCCTCGGGGTGGATGCTGGTTCTTCCCATTTTGTGCTGTCATAAAAACATGGCTCTTGGAACAACTTCCTGGCCTGCACCCTCTGGGATTACTGCCTTGGAAAGGGAAATGTGACGATCCAACCGTGTACAGAGAGATGGGGACACAGGAGGGGCAGTTCACCCTGCCCGGGCTGGGAAGGCTTCGCGGGGTGCTCGTGCCAGGCCTCGAAGCCACGCAGTTGTGTGTCGGGCAGAGCAGCGGGCACGGCGGCCAGGGGAGGGCAGCCTGTGTGAAGGGCCTCGGGGGAGGGAGGAAGTTTGCTGTGGCTGCAGCGCAGGGGCTGCTGGGGCGAGGAGGCAGAGGGGCGCAGAGGGCCAGGGAGAGGCGGGCAGAGCACACTGTCCCAGGCCCTGGGTGCCAGGCCAGGACTTTGACCTCTGGCCTGGCCACCTGTGAGCTCTCCGCCCTCAACTTGAATCCCCTCAGCATCTTCCCCACACCTGGCCAGAGTCATGTCAACAAGACAGATGCCCGAGGCCTCGCCACCTTCTCTTTGCTTCTGGACAAAGCCCCTGCCTGGCCCCACCAACCTCTCCCACCTCTCGTGCCTGCCCTACGGCTGCGCCAGTCCTGCAGTCCCCTTTGACCTCAGGGCCTTTGCACCTGGAAGGTCCTTTTCTTCCCTCTTCCCCTGGTCAACACCTACTCAGCCCTAGGCTTCACCTCACTGTCGCCTGCTCAGGAAGCCGCTCTCGCCTGCCCACCCCTGCCCAGCTTTGGTGCCTGTTCTGAGCACTTGTCTCGTTACTTGTCCCCTGTCCACTGGCTTCCTGTGTGACCAGGTGTTCAGTGTCCATCCTCTGGCCAAAGACAGGCTCCCAAGGCCAGGCCTGGGCACCTCAGCACGGAAGGACCCTGGCCAGAGCAAGGACAGACAGACCCATCTCCCCTCCCACCCTAAGCGGGAGGTCAGGGCCTCGGCTGGTGGGTCTCTGACACCACACGCCTGCGGGCCTGGGCCGGCTCTCGCCCGAGGGATGTGCTATCAGGGAGCGTGGGTCGCCACAGGAAAGCTCGTATCTCTCATTTTCATAAAAACGTACCGCGGTGGCTGTCATTCGTCCCTTACTCTTTCTACTCAGGATGTTTAAGATCCCTGCCAGTGCTTCGTCTCTCTGGTCTGCTGCTTCCAACGCTACATCTTCAGGGCGCGCATCCACCTCCAGCCCCCAGACAGCCCCAGCTCCCCAGGCTTTCCCAGGGTCACAGCAGGGGAGGGGCTGGCCATCGCTGCCCGCGCGAGCCGGTGGGCCTTCCTGGCTCCTCTCCTGTTGATACCCGTCCTTGTTTGAAGGTCCCCAGCCTGACCTCCGTCAAGGCCTCCCCACTTGGCTTTGTGGGCAAAGCATGATTTGCTGTTTACTCAGACACCAGGCCCAAGGGAGCACTGGGCCTTTGGAGATGAGGCTGGGGGGCACGAAGGCCCCTTGGAGGCCTTGGGCTGCTGCCACAGCCACCCCCACCCACCCTTTGTCATCATGGTCTGGAGATTTCACCTTGATGACCAGGTCCACGAAGCCCTTGTCATCATCGCTGGAGACGGGTGTGTAGGGCCGAATGACCAGGTTTCCATCGATTCGAGCTGAGAGGTAGATGTGTTGGCCTGCAGGACAGGAAAGGGTCACTCTGGGCCAGCGATCATCCCTTTAGGTGACCCCAGGGTCTTGTCATCCCACTGCCCTGTGCCCCACCTGGCATTCGGTGGCCTGGCCTGGCCCCACTGTTCCTTGCCGCTCCCGCAGGGACTCCCATTACATCCCAGCTTCCTGCCTCCACGCCTCTGCCCCTGTGGTGCCACTGCCAGGGACCCGGAGGCCCTGCCCACTCTCATCCTGACAGACTCACCCTCAAAGGCCCAGGGTGGCTGTCGCCTCCTCCTTGAAGGCTTCCCTGCCCTCCCTAGTGGAAGCGCAAAGTTTCCACCTCTCTGACCTAGTGCCCCAGCCACCTGCCAGGCTCAGCTTGGGCTGGGGGTGGGAGGGGGCGGCAGGACTCACCAACAGGGAGGCCCAGGATGTGCTGGGGTGTTGGCAGGGCGAAGCGGAAGCGCCGGGTATCATGGTTGATGATCTGCAAAGAGGCCTGAAATTGCTAAACGGCACCCAGGGCAGACAGGCCACCCGCCCTCAAGGACCCCCACCCTTCCCCAGAGTCCCTGAGCACCCTCTCGAGAAGTGTTGCTGTTGCCACATGTGGCTGCACACACCCCCACGCCTGTGTGTGAGGGGCAGAGGGCCGGCACACATTGGGTGTGCCTCTGCTCTTGCTGGCCCAGGAGCAGCAGTGACCCGCCCAGGGACACAAAATAAAGTGTTTAAAGCAGGGAATAGGGCCGGGCGCGGTGGCTCACACCTGTAATCCTAGCACCCTGGAAGGCCAAGGCAGGCAGATTGTTTGAGCTCAGGTGTTCAAGACCAGCCTGAGGAAGAGCGAGACCCCGTCTCTACTAAAATTAGAAAGAAATTAATTGGCCAACTAAAAATATCTAGAAAAAATTAGCCGGGCATGGCGGCGTATGCCTGTAGTCCCAGCTACTCGGGAGGCTGAGGCAGGAGGATCGCTTGAGCCCAGGAGTTTGAGGTTGCTGTGAGCTAGGCTGATGCCACGGCACTCTAGCCCGGGCAACAGAGTGAGACTCTGTCTCAAAAAAAAAAAAAAAAAAAGCAGGGAATGAACCTAAAGGGAGGATGCTAGATGGCCCAAAAATTCCAGGAGGGGGAAGGAGGACTCCACCTCTGCCGTCTGCCCAAGCAGTGCCCTGGAGTGGCCAGAAGGGCTCATTGCAGAAGCCCAGCTCAGCTCAGCTCGACAAAGAACTCCCCCACCCTCAGAGTCCCCGCACAGAGCAGCCGCCTCGAGGAGAGACCCCATCACCAAGTCTGCGAGCAGAGGCAAATCTCAGGAATGACGGGCCTGGCCACTCTGCCCAGCAGCCCCGGCCTCACGCTGCCTTCCCAGAAACCTTTGCGCTTGGGGTAAACGGAGCCCCAAGGCCTCCTGGGAGGTCAGACACCCACATGCCTGACAATTTTTGGAGGAAGAACAGAAATGAGGGAAAGATTGATTACCATGCTGGACAGCCTCTAGCGCAGCAGCCTGGTGGAGCACGGCACAAAGTACCAAAAAGTAGGCCCACCTGCTGACCCGCAAAGCCACCACCAAGCTACATAGGGGTGGAGGGAGATGTGACTCTAGGACATCTGCCACATGCTCAGTCCAAAACTGAAGGGTCCTTTGTGTAATGTCCTTAAGATGAAATACTAGACAGTCATCAAAAGAAAAAAAAAGAAAGAAAAGAAAATGAAGCAGCTCTGGGTTAAATGTGAAAAGGTATCCATGTCGTATGGCTGGATAAAAAAAATTCAGATTACCAAAAAAAATAAACTAAGTATGCACACAGCTGCACCACTGTACACCACAGTGTACGAATGACATGCCAGAAAGGGTCTGCCAGGTACACGCTGACTGGTGACCTGGGCCCTCGGCACAGGGCTCTGGGGTGTGCCAATGGGGGAGGGGCGAGGGGAATGTTCACACTTCACCAAAAGCATTTTTTTATCTTTTTTTTTTAGTTGTCCAGCTAATTTTTTTCTTCTTTTTTAGTGGGAGACGGGGGTCTCGCTCTTGCTCAGGTTGCTCTCGAACTCCTGAACTCAAA